CAATATCATACCTGTTCGGTGAATTTCTGACGTTGAGTTTCAGCTTGTAGCTGATGAAGAAACCGGTTCAATTTTGGGTCAGTGGACTCCATCTAACTGCTCTGAAAGGCCGCACTTTTAGTGGCTAGGCTAATGACTACTCATTTTTACAAAAACAGTGACAGACGGACCTAAATTTTTTCGACAGAGCAATGCAAGAAAGAAAAATTGTAAAAAATCTTTATGTAAAAAATCTTTGTGCGATCTTGCAACATTTTAACGAGATTTTGAAACTATTTTACACTAAAACTAAAATACACTTACTAGGCAACAAGTTTCCAGGTAAAGAAGTAATGTGTTTGTTTGCAGTTAAGGGTTTAATACTAACAGCAGTGGTAAACCATTTTTAACAAAGACAAGAAACTGTTTATCTCTCAAAATACTATTGCCGAAATAGTTATGTTTAAAAAAAAAGAAAAAAAAAAGAAAAAAATTAGTTGTTTTTTAAACGTAATTACGATGCAAAGGAAAGCATTATTCTTTGCTCAACAGTATTATAATCAACTTAAAGCACCAACAAAAGTTCGATAAACTGTAAATTTCTGTAAAACTGTTCATCCTTTGGGTATCTGTGATATATGCCACTGCTGCAGTGCAGTGGCTATATTGTTCAGAGCGGAAGCAAACTTTAAAATCCAGTTTTTTAAAATTAACAGCACAAAATAAATAAAGCGGTGCGTGTCGCAGTCGCATTATCAGTTTGCCAACTGCCAAATCACTGGCTTCAGCATCGATGTTTTTGCCTGGCCCTCTCACCACTGTTTTTGTTGCCAACTTTGCTGCCTGTTAGACTACTAGCGTTCAAATACTGGTGCGGGATAAAGCTGGAATTTGGTGAAACTTGTTTGGACGACATATTGACTTCATATTGACCGGCATCTTTGTGCTCACCAATTTTTGCTTCAGTGTTCATTGAGACTCCACCCATAAAAGCTGTCATGACTTATTTTCATAAAAACTTCAAATACAAACCTGTGAAGTCTTGAATCTCAGAAAGAATAGATCTTGAACAGTTATCTTATCAATTGACTAATAGGTTTTTAACACTCTCTGATCACTCTTTTGTTACTTTGGAATGACTTTTCTCAGGTGGCTTTACACAACGCCTCAAAATTTGTCCATTGAACTCTAGTACAAGGATTGGTGATTTTCTCCTGTTCAAGCGCTTTTTTGTTGAAAAATCCTGTCTTTTTTGGTTTTTCAGCGGCTTTGATGTTTGTAGTTGTGGTATATTTCTGGAAATACCAGAACAGGCTTTTTAAAATCTGGCTACACTTTTTCTGCTACACAACGTGTAAAGACTGAAAAATTCAAAATTGTGACTGCTGAATAGTTTGTTTGTTTCAACTCATAAATTTTCAACACTCACCATCGTTATTCCCATAGCTCTGCGTTATATTTTCTAACCATAGTCCATAAAATCGTAACCGCGCTGAGAGTCATCTAGCTGAGGATATACGTTAAACCCCAGTCTTTATTTGACTAAGAGCTACAAGAGTTTAAACTCAAAACTAAAGTCCTTTTGACGCTGTTACAACTAAAATAACTTCAGCAAAAAAAACTGGAATTTGAAAAGTCTACCCCGTAATTTTTATTTTTCAATATAAGCAACGGCTAGAGATACGGAGACCGAACCCCTTCGTACACAACTTTCAGTAGGCTTCCCTTGAATTTCCTCTAACTTCTAAACGTACTTTCCAATATACGCCTTTTGTCGTCATCATCAGCAAAGCGGCAAGTAATTGACGCTCCTCAAGAGCCCCAAACACTTAAAATGCTCCTTTAATTTATTTTGCACCTGCCCTCAGAATGGCATTAATGAACTCTCTATAGACAAAATAATATAGGTGATAAACCCAGTTCATAATCCAACAAGGATCTAAAAAAATTTTAAGTCCTAATTCAAAAAGATTCTCGTACACTTAAATGGAAGGTCAAAAACAGCCCATTAGTGAACCTTACCATGCTCATTGTTAGTATCAATAAATTTACTTGCCAAAAAAACCATAATTTCACTCCTATAAATGGGAAGGGAACTTAGCTCAAAAAACAACCCTAACAATTTCTAAAGATGTCTCTGACCTCCATCGTTTCGCTCTTTTCGAGAATAAACCTTCAGTAGCCTACACTTACAAACACTGGATGAAACAGTTTCTGGAAAACGCTAGCAGTGACTGGTCATCCTCCGACCAGTCAGCTCTAGAAAATTTCAAGTCCCACTGTAAACACGATCCCATACTAGAAGGTAATGGTTTAACTAATGCTGTCCGTTAAGCTCCCTTCACGTTACACCCTTTTTGCTTTTTTTTTTTTTTCTCGAGGAAACTCTTCTGAGCTTTTGTAACTTATTGCACAAATGTCCAACCAAATTTACAACAGAACTTTTTTAAATTCTCCCACTTTTGCAACCGCTAATACCTTAAACCCAAGCATACACTACCCTCAACTCACACACCCCGCGATAAACTCAGGGTTTACCGCTCGCAATGATGTACTGTAGCATTCCAACTGCCTAGTTCCCTCCAGTCCCTCAAGTTCCCAACCTTCTCACCGTGATAATACAGCATACATATGCAACTGCCCCCTAATGTCCATTTTGTCACTGCAAACTTTTAATCAGACCTTCTGCCCAACTTGGCGACCCAGCTTCTAAACACCTATTATGAACGGTACGTAGAGTCGCTTAACACACCCCCAGAAACTTCCAAACACTGGTGGCCTTCGTTTTTGAACTAAAATCATCTGTAAATCACTACAACTAGTAAGTTCCGACCACAACGTTTACTTCTTAATTTCCCACATCGGTTTACAGCAATACAAATGTTACAGCACCATTACTCCTGATACTTAATCAACACGCTCCAGCGCTGCGACTGTTTCAGAAAATGCTACGCTGTTTTTTACCCGACCCTCGACTCTGAACAATAAGTGCAACATCACAAATTTTATCCAATTTATATACAGCAAGACAGAACTATCAATAAATATTCAACTTTCTTGGAAAAACTGGCAGATGCCGTTCTTAAAACCAACTGTACGTTATTAAATATTGAAACCGGAGCAACATCTGCAAAGAGACGAAAACAAGAAAGTTGCAGTTAAAAGAAAAATCATCTTCTCTTTAGGTGCCTATCAAGTCAACAACTGTTTCAGATCAAATGTTAAAAAAAGACATGTAAAAATATTTTCAAACACCAACTTTTAACAAAACAGTGGAAATCGAAGCATTAGTTATTAAAACAATGCATTACAGACAACGAAATTCAATGCCACTAATTATGAATCACCAGAGTTTGCGGGATTTATAACGGACGAGTTGATAAGAAAAACAATGAGATCCCGCGCGACATCCTCGAAGAAACATTTGGACAAATGACACGATAACATCCTATGCAATCACCAATTACCAGTTATCACGAATTTAACGAGCTAAAAAAATAATCTGCTCGATCCCTAAATATCATTTGGCCAGATCTTCTAACGATGTTAATATGTTGATCCATCCACTTATAAACTGATTTGAAAGCAGTTGAAGGAACCGCTTTACCCGTTTTATGTAATCTAAGGGGTAAATCGAAGAATAAAAAAATCAGTAACGATCTGTCGCCAATCGAAGCGCACCGTCCACCAAAGACAAGACAAAAAATGATGAAACGAAAGAGTGATAAACGATTACTGGACAAACAAAAAGACAAAAAATGAAACTGCTCACAGAGCAACCGAAAAGATTCCGAAAGCTTCTACATCCAAAAATCAAGAACCAATGACTGTGTTAAGCAAAGAAAAAAAGGAACAAAAACGAATGGACGATGTCAGTTGCCAGTTAGATGAGTAGTCCAAAATTTCGAAGGAACTAAGGAAAATGATAGCATTGGAAAACAAATCCCGACTGAAACATAACGCACATTCTCAAAGTAGAATTTTTGCATAGAACTCAGTTGACACGACTATACCGCAAGCTTAAGACACATAATATAAACCAAAAAACAGTCGAACATATTTTGCAGTATTGATGCCTCTCTCCCTACAACTTAAGACCTGTTTAGA